AAAGAAGGGTGCCCACCCTGCCCGTGCCCCAGCCCTACAGCGGCAGCCTTTTTAACCTGGGCAGCGTATAAGGACCAAAGTGCTGTTTTAAAGCGCTGCCGCAGCCATTCTTTAACCAAAACCGTGGGCTGCTTTGTATAATCCAGCCGGTTCCCTTTGTAAAATGATCACGGGGGGGCGGCACAGCTTGTCTCATTTCCTATAAGCAAAATCTAAGTTGTACCAAAAGAAGATGGCCCTGAGACTTACCACGTATCCTCTTTCTGGAGCATTGATTTTTGTTTGTAAGACTTGTTAAAATGTCTGTAACTGTTACTCAGTAAATGTGTGAGATCACAGAACACATTGCACAAATATCAGTGTTAACCTATTGACTCAAATTTAAAATACTCATTTTTTTCCCATGACAGAACCTCAGACCCTTTTCACACGACACTCAGGCAAAAAAACTGTGTATATAGATAAGCCTTGCCCTCCTGGTCAACTAACCTCTGCTCAGCTGTGGGAGCAAGTCCCACAGATAAAATACCTTAACTGTAAACTTATTGTTGCAGTTCAGTTGACAGTCTTTTTTAAAAAATGCTTGCAAATTTGCATACACTAGGGATGTTAAATTGTGAGTAATTGACTAATCGATGCATTTTGCATTTAGTCAATAGGGAGCCACTTCAAAAGGCAAAAGGGCTGGTGGAGCCTGCAGTCACCTGGACAGCCCAGGAGGGTGAGGGGGGAGGCAGGCAGGCAACACCAGGGAAGTGGTGCTAGGGGAACTGGCTTTTAAGCTGGCTCCCTTTAGCTTCTGCCTCCCCCTGCTTGCTGCCTCTGGAGGAGGAGGAGGAGGAGGCGGTGGCAGCAGGTCTGGTGCTCAGGGGGAGCCAACTTTTAAGCCAGCTCCTCATTTGTATTGGTCCCTGCTTGCCCCACACCCCATGCTGTTGCTTCTGATAGAGGCAGCAGCATAGGGTGAATGAACCAAGTAAGCAGGTTGCGTGAGCTGATAAGCTCAAGGAGCTGGTTTGAAAGCTGGCTTACCACATGTACTGGCTCCTCCTGCCTGTCCCCCTCATCCTTTCTTCTTCTGCCTCTCTGTCAGAGGCAGCAGCACAGGGGCCGAAGGGCGCTAGATGGCTCTGGTGCTCCTGAGGAGCCAGCTTAAAAGCTGCTGACGCATGGACACTGGTTCCTCTCTACATCTGCTAAAAGAGGCAGCAAGGGGGGGAGGAATGGGTGTAGGTGAGATTAGCCAGTAAGCCCAGTTTTATCAATTAATTGTGTATGTCAACTACATGTTAAAAGCATTTATGGAAAAGAGCATCTAGAGTGGCATGGACACTTTTCCGCAAATGCACTTTTTGAAGAAAAGCATCCGTGCCAATCTAGATGCGGTTTTGCGCAAGAAAGCCCCGATCGCCATTTTTGTGATCGGGGCTTTTTTGCGCAAAACAATACCGTGTTGTCTACACTGGCTCTCTTGCACAAAAGCATTTGTGCAAGAGGGCTTTTGCCCAAAAGGGAGCAGCATAGTATTTCCGCAAGAACACTAACAATGTTACATGAGATCGTCAGTATTCTTGCGGAAATTCAAGTGGCCAGTGTAGACAGCTGGCAAGTTTTTCTGCAAAAGCAGCTGCTTTTATGGAAAAACTTGCCAGTCTAGACGCAGCGTAGGAGTATCATATGTGGCTTGGAGGGGTTAGCCTGAGACCGCAGGATGGTCTACATCCCTTAACTTCATACACTGTGAATAGTTCCACTGAAGTTATGGTAGTGTATGCAGTGAGTGACGTTTAACATGAGACATACCGCATACCCTTGCAGTATTATGGTCTAGGAGAATGCTGGAAATTGGTTCTTGTGCCTACTTGGAACAAGTAGTTTTAGAAAACTGCATAATCTACTCCTGGAGGAATTCTGCACCATGTATTAGGGATGTAATAGTGTAGTCAATTAACCAATAAGCAAAAGCTAATAAGTTAATGCTATAGACTATGCACATTCCTCCCTCCCTCTCTTCCTCCCTCCCAGTAAATGTTTAGCAGATTGGCTGGGTCTGGGACCTACCCCCACTGTGGCTCTGCATTTAAAGTGGATTAGGCAGGCATGCAGCTTGGCTCAGGTCTGGCTCGTACTGGGTCCGGGAGTGACTGTACCAAAGGCAACAGCATAGGATAACAGGCAGCCAATCTGCAAGGGAAGATGGTTTTTAAATTGGCTCCTCTCACAGACCAGCTCCCACTTGGTAGTCTGCGCTGCTGCCTCTGATACAGTCAGTGCTCCCAGGAGCATAAAATATGTAAAAATTTTACATTGCCAGAGTGGTGAAAAGGAGCTGTATTGTAAATGATAGTAAGGGAGTCTTCAGCTAGGAAGATCTTTGTGCTTTCTTGCTTTTGTCCTGTGCCACAGTGGCACAATGGGGTTAGATTACAGCTCAGTATCTGTTTTACTTGCCCGTTTTAAAAAAGATGACTTTTAGGGCAAATAAAACATTTCTCAACCTGACAAAATGTCAGGATCGTCCGAACCAAGCACTTCCCAAAATAGCCAGTCAGATTCAGATGAAGTTACCAAAGAAATATTTGTTCTTTTGCATGAAGTGAACAATCTTTCCATATGGATACATCAGCTCATGCTTGAATTCCTTTCAAAACTGCTTGTGGATAGGGACAAATTATTGTGCACATGCTGCAATGTTATTCTCAATCATGATCTGTAATGATCAATCATTATGCATTTTAAAAAAAACTCCCACAAACTGAAGGTAGATGCTACTCAAGAGAAGAGCAGAAACCAATGTCAGAAGCCCTTACAAGTATGCTGAAGCAAGAGAGAGACAACATGTGGAGGTGAGTGGAATATAGAAAAAGTTATCATACAGAAAAATAAGTAGTTTAGAAAAGCTGTAGCAATGTAGCTCTTCACCTGCTCTGAAATCTTGACCAGACAGTTATGTTTTTAAACTTTAAGTGATGACAATGAAATTAATGATTGATAATACACTACAGTATGTAACTTGCACTTTCATATTTTAAGGTAGATTATAATTTAATAATGTCTTTCTCTTAAGTGTGAGCCTTCCTGGATAGAGGCATAAGACAGATAACTAAGTATGTCTCTAAAATCATGTGATCATTTCCTATACTAGAAAAATAAATTAAAATTGAGAAATTAAGAAATAAATATAATCTGAGATGTAAAATGTTGCATGAATAGTAAACATTTGTGTTCACTTAAGTCTTAACTTCTTTTACTTTTGGTTTTGTACAGCTTGAATGAAGACAGTGCCAACATCCTCTATAACTGACTCATCACCCACTTGTGGGAGAATTTCTTGACAGCAGAGTCCAGAATGGTGATGCAGTGTCTGATAGGACATAGCTGACAGAGACCTACTTACCTGACATGTACCTCAAAGAAAGGGAAAACTTAGAACTGAAGCTTAAAGACACAGAAAATTGCTGTTATCTTTAAATGTTGTGATGATGGGCAAGATCAGTTATAAATATACTGTTTGCATCATTAAAACCTGATAACAGTGGGCATGTTAACTTATTTTTTTTTTTTGTGGTAATAACCTTTTAGGTGTGGCAAGTTAATCAACTATAGGGATGGCTGGGATTGGCCGTGCCTTGGGCAGCGGGCTGGACTTGATGACCTCCTGAGGTCTCTTCCAGCTCTATGATTCTATGATGTGAACGAGTAGTCGATTATCCAATAAGCAAATGCTTATCAGATAGTCACCACACTAGTCGAATAGTCTCTATTCCACCCCCCCCCCCCCCCCCCCCCCCTGTGGGGGAAGATGATGCGGTGCTTCAAAGTGGCAGATCCCAGGCTCTACGCGGTGCTGCCACTTTGAAATGCCACTTGCAGTCTGGGGCAAGTTGGGAGTCCCCAGTTGGCCTGGGCTGCACGCAGCATTTCAAAGTGGCAGCACTCTGAAGAGGCTGGGGGCTGCCACTTTGAGACACAGCATGAAGCCTGTCACCTGCTGGT